GCATCTTCATCCCACTGCAGTAATGTGTTACTGAATTCAAACACGCATATTGTCTACCATTTAAAAAGAACTAAAAAATATAATATTCTCTGCCCTCCAGTTACAATGTAGATTGTGATTTACCTTGAAAAATTATATTGTCTATGTTTAATTGTTGATCCTTGTGTCCCCTAGTAGCTTCTCTGTATTGTTTACATTCAAACTAGTGTGTGAGTGTGTGTGTGTGTGTGTGTGTGATCTGCTAATGCCATAAAACTGGCTGTACCGCTGTGTGTTAACAGGCAGGAGGCAGCAGCGGCCTGCTAATGGACCTGGCAGCCAATGAAAAAGCAGTGCACTCTGATTTCTTTAATGGTAAGTCACAGTCTATTTCCCACTGTAACGCAAATGTGCGCCACTTAAGTCATCTGCTCATTAAATATGGCAGTAGAATAACGAGGAAGAAGCTTGCAGAGTTGAGCAGAAATTAAATTTAAATTTCTCGTTTGTTTGTGGCACTTTGGTTGAAACACTGGATAAAAACAGTCTCAGGAATAAACTTAAATTTCAGAAGCACTGCTCTATTGGACTGAGTTTATTTCTATCTACCATGTTTATGATTGCTTTTTATATTACTGTATAGTGTCTGCTGTAGCAGAAGGGACTTACAAACTAAATTTCACTTTACAATCTGCTGTAATGTGACAAATAAACCTACCCTTGTTTCACGACTGAAACTAAAATGATCAAAGCCACATGGCATGGCGCAACAAAAGAAGCTGAACAAAAACTCCTTTGTCCCCTTTTTAATGATCATATCTGATTGAAAAGTGTGAAGCAAAAGAAGTAAAACCTCTCTTTTGCCTAGTTCCAAGTGTAGGTAACTAAAGAAAGGACATTTATCAGCGTTGTTTACAGGTATTTAAATTACCTGAACATTGCTGGTTTTAGATAGTAATGTGACGTCTGTAACGTCATGTAAATGAGAAACGCTGTCCCCTAATGATCAAGGGACTAACACACATGGATTTATTTTAGAGAAAACTGATTATTTGGCTATGTAAAGCTTTCTTTTACGCTTAAACTAAACAAAACTGTAAGCTGAATCACATGACTGAACTGTTCCAAAGTTTAAAAGCTCCAACAATCAGCAGGATCACATCACTAGGGACTTTTCTTATGGAACATATTAAGTATAAAATATTCTAAAACTGATATAATATTATATAGTAATGTGAAAGGTTAAAGGCAGATGGACAAACTGCATGAAAACTGGAGTTTAAACGAAAGCACAATATACAGTGTTGTGCCTTAACCGCGTTGTCTTCTCAAATTAACCCTCACAAATTCTGTTGCTCCCCTGTAAACACCAGTTTATATGTGAGAAGGCACACGCATAAACACAATGGACGCACAAGAAGCAGTAAGCTAATCTGTTTTCCGTCTTGCAGCGTTGGCTGTAGGCAAAAACAGTTTTGGCTCAGCGGCACATGACCTAGAAAAGAAAAGAGCTGATTGTTAAAAAGAGAGGAAGAGAAGAGGAGGATGGTAAAGTGGGTTTATAGCTGCTCTTAGACTTAAACTCAGCAGGACACCTCGCCAGTCAGCTGCTTTAAACGCACACACACACACATACATTCGGTGCTTTCTCATGTATGGCACGTCTTATCGTGGCACTAACAGGGATTTGAGTCCCTAAGGGCCCTGCTCTAGATATGTCAGCTTTACCTTCTCCAGATGTTTGGTCCCAAACTTGTAGCTGGAAGTGCACCGGTTTCTTACACTGATTTACCCTTCCTCGTAGCTGCTAACGTGTAACCACACCTTTCCCCACACTTAATTGTTGCGCCAGAGAGAGTAACCTTAACGTATTTAGCTGGAAACTGGCGATCCAAACTGCTCTGCTGATGAAGGATGGTGGTGGCGTTCACACTGTAAACAGGAACTTTATTGCCTCTGCTGCAGCGAACACAATACACAACCTTCTTCTAGGTCATCTCACAGCTTTGTAGCCGAACTGAATGTGCCACACACGCTTTCCCAAAGGTAAAAACTAAATAAAATATATTTAAGGCAAGACAATAGATTTTTTTAATGATTTAATAGATCATCACCCATCCCTAACAATAAATGTGCTCATAGTGTAATGCCAGGTTTCATTCAGAAACAGGTAGTACAGATTATTACACTGACGTGCAAAATATGGAAGAATGATGTGTTATTGTTGATTTGTAATGTAAGGATTTCTCAGTGGCTGCTGCTCTGTCAGCACTGATGGGACTCATTTATTTAGGTGCACCAAACACTTCCGCTGATCAGAATTTCACACTATGAGAAGGTCCTATTTTTGATCATCTAAAAAGCGAGAGAGGAATGAAAAAGCATGACATGATTATAAAACCAGGGTGATAATTTTGCCCTTTAGTGTGGCTCCTTGAGCTTAAAGGATGAGGTGTCCCTCTGCCCTGAAGCGGACATGACGATATGATATTATGTCGTCTTAAAAAGGTCAGCATGGCCAATAATTTTTTTTTTTTTTAGACCACATTGTGAAAATAAGGTATGTAAAAGAGGACTCCCATTTGCTGGTTCTGCACTGGGTTGTGTACAGTGTTGAAAGTTGCAAGGAGTTGTGAATAGCCAAGGGGCGAGCTGTTTGACTCGTAGACTGTCCCTTATTAGGCAAAACAGAGTAATGTCCTAGTTCCTGGAAACCACAAAGACATGAAAGAAAGAGTTTGTTAAGTCTGGTTCAGCATGAGTTTTATTATATGGACATTCTGGCAGATTTATGAAAATACATCCGAATAAAATCTACATGAATAACTGCTATATGGCTTAAACCACTTTTAGCTCAGTTTGAAAAATCCTCTACAACTGTTTCTCCACGGAGTATTCAGCAGACAGCGCGAAATGTTACTTTACGTCAAACTCGCAGCCTTTTGATACGAGGCTGTCAGTGCGGTCGAAGTAATATGTGTGTGTCTTTGAGATGAGAGGCTTGATCGGGCACAGATCGCTTAAGTGGTTGTCACAGATAAATCACGGCCGGCAAGGAAAGATAGAAGAAACATTCTGGACTTACAGTTGCCAAGATTTCATGCTTTGAAATCTTTAAAAAAGTAGACGAGACCCTGGATATAACTGTAAATGTAGGAGTTCTGGGAAAAAGCTGGACTAATTATAACCCCGTTCTTGTCTTTTTTATTTGTCTCTCTTTTCTTTCCATCTTGTATTCTTTCTGTCTTTTCCACCTGCAGACTTTGAGGACCTGTTCGACGACGATGACCTGCAGTGACGGCAGCATCTGAACACCTGTGAACGTGTACATAAGAAAATGACGACGGGCTTATTCTGACTACAAGTTCTCTGATTTGTACAGCCCGCCCAATCTCACAGGTCACTCACCACCATTCTGAAATAAAAGACTTTCTCGTTTTTACAAAAACAAAAGCTGTCTTGTCCATCCAGGTGTCTGTGAATTCTAAGAATCCCTCACATTCCAGCGTTGGAGAAAATTATGAGTATGGTTTTGGCGTTGTCGTGTTTGAATCTGCTCCCGGCTGGATTGTAGGTTTGCGGGCTCTGCAAAACACCTGTTAACAAATGTTAATTACATATGAGATACAGTGTTAACATGACCACTAAATGTTCAGTCGGGACACGATGGGACAGGAAAGGGGCTGCAAAAATGCAATGTTTTAAAAAAACAACACAAGCAAATAAAGCGTTGCCGTTCAGGTGCAGACTTGGGCAATAAATGGTTTTGCTGTCATCGAGCCGAAGGACTATAGAGATGCAGTCAAGTATCATAAGCAGAGAAGATAAAACCATTTGAATGTATATTTTATTTTCGAGAGGATGCAGGTGATTACAGTTTAAAGGTTTCAGTCCATGGCCAAATGTATGTGGACGCCTCAACATTACATCTATATGTGATTGTCGAGCCCCTCATTCTAAAGCGGTGGCATTAATCTGCTGCTTTAACAGCCTCCACGCTGCAGGGGTCCAACACTGGCGTCGGGTGACGAGGTGTGGCTCACAGTCGGTGTTTCAGTTTGTCCCAAAGGTGTTAAAAAGGTGTGAAGGCCAGTCAAGTTCTTCACCAAACTGGGAGAAGCTTTTCTTTATGAACTTACCTGTCATGTTCAAACAAGAAAGGAACCTTCCTAGAATTGCTGCCTTGCGGAAATTGGAAGAACAGGATATAGGAAATGTGAAGTTGGCATCAGTCCGTGCTGAGTTACGGGTAACATTTTTCTGCCACCATGTTGTGAGGACCCTGCTGCTTTTTGTTTTTGTGCACACACTGTGGGACTAATCTGTAAAATCATGTCTCCATTGACTCTGTGAAGAGTTCAGGTCATAGTTATCCAAGGCAGGTTAAAGTCAAGGACAACTAGACTTGTTGAAGATACTATAAGATGTTTTTGCCCTTTTCAGTCATCTCTCTATTAATCTGTACTCAACATAACTAAATACACCAATCAGCCATAACATTATGACCACCCGCTGGTCATGTAGGTCTCCCTTTTGTCGCCAAAACAGCCCTGACCCTTTGAGACATGGACAGTTTTCTGAGACCTTTCTATCACGACCAGCATCAACTTTTTCAGCAATTTGACCAGCAATCTGTTGGATGGGACCACATGGGCCAGCCACGTGCATTATTGAGCCTTGGCCACCCATCACCCTGTTGCCAGTTCACCGCTTTTCCTTTCAGTAGGGTCCCTTTCCTTTTTTCTTTCCCCACGTCAGATTGTACGACTTTGTGGCCAAACTAAAGCTAATCAGGTAACAACCACCATAACAACCAGGAGGCTCACAGGTGTACAGAGCGCATAACTCCCAAGATGGCTTCCCCGTCCCAACACTCAGCACTCTGTGACATTCCTTCCCATTCCCAATTATCAAAAATTTACCTTTAGAACGGCCTGAAAACATATCATACCAGCTTCTTACTAAACACATGGTTCTAATTTTGGTCTGTCGTTTCACATGACATTTGTTGCTGGTTTGACATGGCTGGGGCTTGGTTGGAAGACGGTGAGATATACAGTGGGTACGGAAAGTATTCAGACCCCTTTAAATTTTCACTCTTCGTTTCATTGCAGCCATTTTCCAAAAATCAAAAAAGTTCATTTTATTTCTCAGTAATGTACACTCAGCACCCCATCTTGACAGAAAAAAACAGAAATGTAGAAATTTTTGCAAATTTATTAAAAAGAAAAACTGAAATATCACATGGTCATAAGTATTCAGACCCTTTGCTCAGTATTTAGTAGAAGCACCCTTTTGATCTAATACAGCCATGAGTCGTTTTGGGAAAGATGCAACAAGTTTTTCACATCTGGATTTGGGTATCCTCTGCCATTCCTCCTTGCAGATCCTCTCCAGTTCTGTCAGGTTGGATGGTAAACGTTGGTGGACAGCCATTTTCAGGTCTCTCCAGAGATGCTCAATTGGGTTTAAGTCAGGGCTCTGGCTGGGCCATTCAAGAACAGCCACGGAGTTGTTGTGAAGCCACTCCTTCTATTTTAGCGGTGTGCTTAGGGTCATTGTCTTGTTGGAAGGTAAACCTTCGGCCCAGTCTGAGGTCCAGAGCACTCTGGAAAAGGTTTTCGTCCAGGATATCCCTGTACTTGGCCGCATTCATCTTTCCCTCGATTGCAACCAGTCGTCCTGTCCCTGCAGCTGAAAAACACCCCCACAGCATGATGCTGCCACCACCATGCTTCACTGTTGAGACTGTATTGGACAGGTGATGAGCAGTGCCTGGTTTTCTCCACACATACCGCTTAGAATTAAGGCCAAAAAGTTCTATCTTGGTCTCATCAGACCAGAGGATCTTATTTATCACCATCTTGGAGTCCTTCAGGTGTTTTTTAGCAAACTCCATGCGGGCTTTCATGTGTCTTGCACTGAGGAGAGGCTTCCGTCGGGCCACTCTGCCATAAAGCCCCGACTGGTGGATTGCTGCAGTGATGGTTGACTTACTACAACTTTCTCCCATCTCCCGACTGCATCTCTGGAGCTCAGCCACAGTGACCTTTGGGTTCTTCTTTACCTCTCTCACCAAGGCTCTTCTCCCCGATAGCTCAGTTTGGCCGGACGGCCAGCTCTAGGAAGGGTTCTGGTCGTCCCAAACGTCTTCCATTTGAGGATTATGGAGGCCACTGTGCTCTTAGGAACCTTAAGTGCAGCAGAAATTTTTTGTAACCTTGGCCAGATCTGTGCCTTGCCACAATTCTGTCTCTGAGCTCTTCAGGCAGTTCCTTTGACCTCATGATTCTCATTTGCTCTGACATGCACTGTGAGCTGTAAGGTCTTATATAGACAGGTGTGTGGCTTTCCTAATCAAGTCCAATCAGTATAATCAAACACAGCTGGACTCAAATGAAGGTGTAGAACCATCTCAAGGATGATCAGAAGAAATAGACAGCACCTGAGTTAAATATGAGTGTCACGGCAAAGGGTCTGAATACTTATGACCATGTGATATTTCAGTTTTTCTTTTTTAATAAATTTGCAAAAATTTCTACATTTCTGTTTTTTTCTGTCAAGATGGGGTGCTGAGTGTACATTACTGAGAAATAAAATGAACTTTTTTGATTTTTGGAAAATGGCTGCAATGAAACAAAGAGTGAAAAATTTAAAGGGGTCTGAATACTTTCCGTACCCACTGTATATATATATAATTAAGCAATTTAAATTGAAATGTGATTACAGTTCACATGTTTCCAGACCCGCAGAGTTTTTGAATGTTCAACTCTTGATATAAAGAGCATTTTTTTCCCCCGTAACTTTCCTATATGCTTAGATTGATGCCCAATGATTAAGAAAAAGCCCTAATATAACAGAGTACTCTGACTACACGTTAGCAATGTGTCTCAGCTGACATGGAAATAAAGAAGTTTAGTCTTTGTGTTTGCATAAAAGCCATTTTCCAAAATTCAATACATCCAAAGAAAATTTTAACAATGTATATTCTCTCTAATATGTACTAAAATAATGTTTAAAAACAAATTGCGTCCTCAACAAATGTGATTTATTTGAGTTAAATCACTTAGTGTGAGAAAGCAGATATTGTGTTAAAGTGAAAATCTAATAAAACCCCTGAGAAGTCGGCGTGGACTCGAGACGACAGAGTGTCATAAAGGAATTACAGGCTTATTCAGTCAGATGTGCTGATAGTGCATCACCCATCACAGCTATATTGAGTCTCACTAAAACCGCTGTCTGTTGCTGGCATGTCTGAACACATTTAAAGGAGGAAACTGTAGATTATCAAATTCCTCATGTGTGGACCAGCTGTCCCTGCATGTGTGTGTGTTCAGGTTTAGACAGAAGCTGTGGTTTGGCCCTCATTGAGGGTCTCTGAGAAGTGCTTATGTGGCACCTCAGCTCCCCTTCATTATTTCCTGATTTTTCTCTTTTCTGTACCTTTCTGAAACACTTTTTGTTTGTGATTGTTGCACCTCCCATCCCACAAACAAGATCCAGAGTGTGATTTCTAACATTAAACATGACTCAGAATTAATTATCAATCGTGTTGTTTTTTTTAACTAAAAAAACAACAACACTCGAGTGAACTACTACTTCTCCACGTCTCCATCTCTGCTTCTAGCCCTCCCACCTTCTCTCTTTTCCTGTCTTTAATTACGGTGCCTCCAATTGGCTGAAACCTTCTGAAAATTCGGACCTATCAGACATCTTGTTGAGGTGGCCCTTGACCCCCTCAGGTTGTCCCTGCATGTGTTCTCTCTGTGTGAGAGTTCAGTTTAAAACCTTCTTCAGATCCCTTCGTCAGGACAGTCTGTCAGAAGGGCCACAGGGACAGGGTGCACTAGGAACCTCTATCATACCCCCCCCATTCACCACACAAACTTAGTGTTTGAGCCCAGGTGGACTGAGTCATCCGGCCTGTCGGCTTCATTTGAGTCCACATCTGGATCCGCAGACAGACACGCCAATAAGATAACCACAGGTAAGACACTTTGGTGACTCTGCACCTCTGCATGTTTACTTTTAGGTACTTACCAGGGATTCAAGTTCAGGCTGAAGTCAAGTTTGGCCGCTGAGCAACACCCAGCTCGTTTTTACGATGACAAACCGGTAGCTTTAGCTCAGACAGGAGCCCTGTAGCAACACGTTTGTTTTAAAGCCTCCAAATCAGAGTTCACTTCCAAGCTGCAGGGGTCACTTCAGCAGCTCTCCAGGTGAAAACTAGCACCTTCCACCAGTGACTTATACGGTTTGTAAGTTTCTCTGGACACTCTTGCAGGTAACCAAACATCTTTTTGGACACTTGCTTGGAGAAGAACTGTTTCTAAAAATAAACTAATATATACCCTTTTATTTTACTACCCTGGCTGAGTGAATCCTAACCCTTTCACTGTAGCAAAAATCAATAAAAATGTGTGTACATACAGAAACATCATTTTTGAAAGATAGATTGGTGATATCAACTAACAAAATGCTAAAAATATCTGTTGTGTGCTCAGATTTTAAAGCATGGAAGTGATGGAGTGGGAAGTTTTGGGATTAAAGAATCATTTTGAATGTCTGTCTTTGGCATTGGCAGGAGAGGAGAAGGTGAAGTCATGGCTGAAAGGAAGAGGACCAGTTTCCGGTGTGTTCATTACCACTCTGCTGGCTGTGATGCTGCTGCCTGGTGAGTACACAGTGGGGATCAGACGCACATGCCATCACTTTAATGGTTAACTAAAACGGTCTAAAGTCAAACGTATGTAATCACTGGTTGTGGAAGAAGTACTCTGATCCTTTACTTAAGTGAAAGCTGCAATATCAAACTGTAAATAGACTCCATTACAAGTGTTACTCAAGTAAAAGTAAAAGTATTTAATGTAGAAAATGGGTCCTGTGAGTGTTAGTATTGTAGAGAGCTCATTTTAACTGTTTGAAATACAAGCTTTTGTTTTTCAATTAGCTGATTAAAAATTCAGTTTATAAAATGTCAAAAAATAGCAAACACTGTCCATCAGAGTCCAAGATGATGTGTTCAAATGTCTTGTTTTGTTCAAAATACAATCAAAAAACCCAAAGAATTTTAGTTAATAACAGAGAAGCAGTAAAATCTCACAATGGGAAGCTGGAACCAAAATAGTCAAGACATTGTTGCATGTTAATTTCTTTTTTGACTAGAGCTGAAACTGATTAATCAATTAGTTCAAATAAATAATTAAATAGTTTTTTTGTAAAGAACAATGACATTTTATAATTCTATCATATGTTTTGTATCTTAATTGAAAAGTAAATAAATATAGTTGAGGAAATAGTAAAATATTTGTCTCTGGAATATAGTGAAGTAGAGGTAAAAAAGTGGCATGAAAAGGTCATACTCAAGGTATTTGTACAGTACTTGAGTAAATGTAATTAGTGTTAGCTGTTTCTGTGAAGCGTAACCACCAGAAAGTAACTAAGTTGATACTGCACAGCTAACTGAGCTAACTAGCTAATTAGCAGCAGTTATGACCTGATATGTGATATACTGCCCTCCTATTTTTGGGAGTATGAATTCGAAAGTAGTCTCAAATCTTACACATCGCACCTTTAAAATTTTAAAAGTAAAAGTACTCATTGGGCAGCAGAATCCCCCATCAATGTTATATTATATTTTTAGATTATTACTATGGATGCATTTCTGTGTCTGCAGCACCTCTTATGTAGTAGCTGGTAGAAGTAAAGTTAATTTTAACAACTTTATATACATTTGGTTTCTTTAATTTATAAGTGGATCACATTATTTTGCATGTTAAACCTTGATCGTTAAAATAACTAGTGGAAGAACGAATATTTGCCTCCACAATGTAGTGGAGTATAGACGTAGCATAAAATGGAATTACTAAAGTAAAATGCCAAAAGTACCTCATCTTACTTTTCTTTCTCATCATCCACACATTTATTTGCTTAACATTCATGTTTTATCTATTGTGTGTGTTTTGTTGCCCTGCTTCTATAAAACTCTTCATAAATAAATTCTACTTGAGCTTCACAATATACATTTCATGGTTTTGTTAAGGCTAAGGGTTGGTTGGACAGGTTTCTGCTCTTCATTAGTTCATGGACATGGACTTACATCATCGCCATGCTTTTGCTAAGACTGTGCATCATAACGTGGTTCTCTAACACAGCCTGTGGCGTTAATATATCATCTGTATTGCTCTAACATGAAGACAGGTTGCTCCTCCGCCACCTGTTTCGAGTTTGCTCTCGACATGATTGGCATATTTACAAAGGGGTAATGCTGTGCTTAAGTCTCATCTTTCCTTTAAGTATGTTTTTTTTTAATAGCTGTGTTTGATGGTTAAAAGGGAAAAAAGAGAGTAGGAGGAGGAGATCCTTTCATCGCTCCTGGTCCTGTAAAAAATTAGTACCTGTCAGCATCACCTCCTCCTCTGCCCTCTTAAAGTGCTGCTGTTTCCAGATGTGCCAGACAGTTTTTTACAGGCTTGTAAAAAACAATACAGCGGATACACTGAGACAGCATCATTTAGCCCACCCTCCTCCTCCTCCTCCTCCTCCCCAACATCGCTCCATCACCTCCGGTCACCTTCACTTCTTCGTCTTTCTTTGATTCTGTTTTTCTCTGCAAATTCATGCCTATGCTTGTTACCCTTCATCTGTGACCTTGCACGCTACTCTGCATGTCACATCTTCCTGATTACTCCATCAAAGCTTATCAAAACTCTTTTAATCATGGGATTGATGTCCCCCCCCCCCACCACCACTTCCGACACGCGTCACATAACGCTGAATTATTCCCTTCGGATCCCTCTTTTAAACTTGCTGTCTGTTCTCCCACTTATTCTTCCACCGTCTCCTCTTCCTCTCCTGTAAGGCATTAACACCTTTTCCCTGTGGAGATGAAAGAAACCTGGTGCAGAGCTGAATCCGCACAGTGCACATACGTACACAAACACAGCATGGGGTTTTTAATGTTACAGGCTCACCTGTAAAATCTACAAAGCAGTCGCCGGCGCTTCAGGCAGAGACAGTTACCCCTGTCCTTTTTAATGAGTTATAGCTGCCTGTAAGTGTTTGAGGTTTAACGTCATATATTATATATATCACTTATGTGTTAAAAAGCAGAGCAGGACTTAATTTTGAATTCAGCAACTTCTGGATTTCACATATATGTTGTTGCTGTTCTCTTTTTTTGTAGCATTCTTGTCTGCTGGACCAATTGTGCAAAAGCCAAAAGGAGATGGTAAATATGTGGGTTTGTTTCTACAAAGTACACACTGGCGATTTGCCATGAAAGGTGTTGAAAAATGAGCCCATGAAAGTAGTTTTTTGATTACGAGAGCAACAACGGAATTCATCATGGCACCTCACCTTGCTTTAATGTGGCATCAACACTTAACCCTGTGATCAATGTTGTGATCAATGTGTGAGCAGTTATTTTCTTGACAAATAAAAACCATTAATGACGTCTAACCTCCAAATGTAACAAGTTTGAGGCCTTCAATATCTTGTTATAAACTTTAAAAGTCACGACAAAGTCCTTGACTTTGATTCCCAAGTGTGTACAGAAGCCTTGGGCTCTGCAGTGCCTTCTATTTTCTTTTCTTTGCTCAGCGGGAGAAAGTATCCAAGAGAGGGCAGCTGCTGCAGAGTCATACAGGAAGCTAATTCGCAACCGCAGGAACATCAGCTGGTACAATCAGCACACTGACTTCTGGGGCTGGTACAAGTACTTCACTGACAACAGCAACCAGGAGGCAGTAAGTATATACACAGCAACAAAATGTATATATAATTTTTTTCTTCAGCTATTGAAATTCAGTGACAGTCCACCTTATGTGTGTCTTTTTAGTATGAAACAAAAACGCTCTGTAGTCCTAAAGGTGGTTGTTAAAAAATGGTAGATACCTCCATCAGAGATGTTACAATAAATTCCAATTATATGATTTCCTAAGTTTTAAAGCTGCTCCAATCAATATTTTCACTTTAACAATGGGTCAGATAGCTAAGTGTAACACATACTGATTAACCCACAGAGAATTATCACTCAACTCTGCAGTTCCCTTCAACTCTACAGAGAGTTTTAGCATCTTTAAGCTGGTTATCTTGGTTTTTAAAGGCCACCACTGTTTTAAGACACAGAAGGTAGATGTTTTTTAAGTGATAAACCCATTCTACGCTGACTGCTCAGCATTGAACAAGGAGAACAGAGCCCTGAATAGTGCTTGCAAGTATTCCTTTCAGGCTGCATACACCCAAACAAGCTCCACCAATAAGGTAGGGCAGTCTCTAGAGGCAAAAACCAGGGCAAATAACCATTACAAAGCGCAGAATTTGGTTAGGATGTCACTTCAAAGTCTTTGCTGTTTTGTTTGTTTCCAACCCGTGCCCGTGCATCATCTGAATCAAACTCTTCCTCCCCTCTCAGATTCAGGAGATGGACCGCATCTACCTGGCCTACCTCCAGAACAAGAACCGTGCTGAGGGACGTCGCTCATACAAGGCCTACTTGCGCCACCTGGGGGAGATCTACAAGTCCTGTTCTGATTCTGATGACCCCAACTGTGTGGCTTCCCACACCAGCAGGCCTAAACCCGAGCCCCCCAAACCTGCACTTTTGAAAACCTGTGATCCCACCAAGGACTCCTACTGCCTGTATGCTGCTTTGGTTCAGCGCAAAAGCCCGTACCTGCCCCTGGCACTCCCGGTTGCCACCCCCGCCCCGGCACCAGTGAAGGCCCCAGCCCCTCTTTACGTCCGCTCTGCTGCTCCTGCTAAGGACCCACAGTCAGGGTATTATTACTACGCTCCATCTGCAGTGCCTTTCCTTAGCAAGGTATGCTCTCAGCTCTCAGTTTTATGTTATACTGCAATTTATTGAAGAATTTTGTCACCTTTTTGTTTGAATTATGATGTATTAACTGGAAAATGTCTAAAATTTATTATATATTTCTGGTCTTCCGACCACTCAAGGCGCTTTACCACACATATTCACACACATTCATACACTGATTGCTCAGACTGCCGTGCAAGGTGCTGATCAGGAGTCGCTTCCTATCCAAAGTGCTCATGATGATACAAGTTCATCCAATGATGGAACAGCCAGCGGGAGCAATTTGTGGTTCAGTATCTTGCCAAAGGACGCTTCGACTGGACTGAGCCACAGACGCCTCAAATTAAGTTTATTTGGCATATTGAGTGGTGTCATCTCTGCCTCTGTTTTCCATGCTTTAGGAGCAGAAGGTTGAGCTGCTGCGCATTTGCTCCTCTGATGACGTGGAGTGTCTGCAGTACCACCTCAGAGCGGCCTACGGGTACGCACCCTCTGCCGGACCTCTACCTTCCTACGCCCACCTCGGCTGTGACCCCAAGAAAGATCCCACCTGCAAACCCAAACTGGTGCAGAAAACCCCCTCTGGTCACTACCTGCAGTACCCCAACTGTGATCCCCGGGATCCCCTCTGTGCTTATGCTGCCTCACTTGTGGTATGATTTATTTATTATCATGATAAAACAAAACAAAAATAAAACAGCTGCTTACTGTTTTTTAATTTTTAATTTGCATTGCCTTGATTTTCATGACTTATGGTGTTTCTACTGTGACGTGTTCCTCCAGGCACCCCGTACCCCTAACCCCCCTGCCCCTGCTGGCCCTGGATCCTGCAACCCTCTTTTTGAAGAAGGCTGCAACCCTCTTACCGCCACCAGATTTGCCACTCCCCCTGAGGCATACAGAAATGAGGAAAAAGAGGAGGCTGCTGCCATTCGTGTTGCCCCTCCTGCTGCTGAACAGAACAACGACCCCTATGCCATGTTCAGGGATACTTATGCTAATGCTAACAGAGTTACTGATCCTTACGCTATGTATCGCCAGGCTAGTGCCCCAGCTTCGCCTCCAGCTAATGACCCGTATGCCAATCTGCGCCGATTCATTGCCCAAGCCCATGTTAATGACCCATATTCTCCCCGCATGGAGGCTGCTCCAGAGTCTAACCCCAACGATCCGTTCTCTGCAATCCGTGAGGCGGCAGAAGCGATGCATCACCGCGGTTCTCCCACGCAGCAGCACCCTTTTTCCTATCGCAATTATGAGGAGCCTGCCCAGGAGGAGCGCCACCCTCTGGGCCCCCCAGGTAAAACCAAGGAGGGCTATGACTGCTACATCGGCTACGATCGTGAATGCTACCCCGTGAAGCCCAATGAGCCACGCTCTGGAGTTTACCGCCGCATCCCCTATCCTGCCGAGGCCTACGAGCCTCACCTGAACGCTGACGGCACCCGAAACGGGGTCCTGGAGCCTTCCAACCCACACTGCGACCCTGAACACGATCCTGACTGCCGGCTGCGTCGCTATGAGCCAGAGCAAACCCACACCGAGGCTCAGCCCAAGTATTACGCAGAGGAGGACCACAGCCAGGGGGCAACAGAGAGCGAGCAGCAGCTGGAGCAGCAGGAACAGGACCAGTACGAAGCGGAGCCCTACCAGAGCGGACAGGAAGAGCCTCACATGTCCTACCAGCCATTCTCACAGGGTATGCCCAGCCTCCAGGACATACTGAGGCGCTACGGAGACCAGTACCCTGAGCAGGATGATCACAGAGCCTATGCAGATGACTACCGCAAGAAATAAACATGCTAACACACACATGCTTGCAGATGGACATGAATACACAGTCCCGAGCGTTCTTGTAGCTTAACCCTTGACCGCCTCATAAAGCACGCAGTAAGTTGTACCTGAACCAGATATGGGACTCGAGAGAAGTCTATGGACCCAATGAGCGAGTACATCCACTCATAGCTTCCAGCTGTAGAAGCACGCTCAGAACGCCGAGGGTGTTCCAGCAATGTTTTTATCTCTTTAGCTGCTTTAGACCTGTTGCTTTGGCCCATTGCTTTCCAGTTTCCACTTCCACCTCCTCAAACCACTCGAATGTTTAATGACTTCTCAGTGCTCAGCTTTGCTTCTGTATCTATGCATCTCACGTTTTTTTGTTTGTTGCTTTTTGTCAGTGACGGATTATGTAAAAAAAATGTTGTTTTTTTCATTTTGAATGTTCTAATAAAAAGCTCTAGAAAGCTGTTTTTGCATTTAATTTACTGAATCTTGCCATTCAGCCCACCGATGCAACATGACAGCTGAAAATATTTCTTTCCCTTTAAAATGAATACATGAATGAAATCTTGACTCCCCATTCAGTCTTAAGGTTTCAGGTTGAGTTGTCAGCCATGTGAAAAAGCTTGCTTTTTAAAATGGAGTTTCTCTGCCCCTCTGTTCTCATCTTAGCCTCTTCTGATTTCATCTTCTGCTGTGCCGGTTCTCTCCAGCTCCAAATACACACAGCATGAGGGGGTGGGGTCACAGAGAACAGAGGCTTGACTTTATTGATCCGTAAGCTCTCAGACACATTACCAGCAGCAGCAGTTATTCAGAAGTCCGGAGGGAAGCTCTTGTAGTGCTCAGACAGTTAAAGAAACTTTCAGGCTTAAGATAACTTGAATTGGTTGGCGGTTAAGAGAGATGATGCCTTTGTTTTACTTTATGGGTAATTCAATTGAGGATACATATTAGGGTGTGTAACACCGCCACCCCATATACAAAGGGCAGATTATGTTGCTTGGCACCGGACAACTCTAAAAGGGATGTTTCTATAGCAGGTCAATAAGCAGGAGGAAGCACCACAAACGGTGGCATTTCTAAAAAATAAATAAAAGGAAATTAAGCAGAAGGACAAAGAATTACAAATTAAATGAAAGCTGCAGCCTCACAGAAAGTGTCCAACTCCTTCCTTCCCTCCAGTGAGTGACCCAGGTAACCTACCACCTTACCAGGTATGTGTTGGGTGACCTAAACAGAGCAAGTATCAAAATCAACCAAAATAACTAACACTAATGTAAGATTTTTCAGTTACAAGCTTGTATTATTTCCATTCATCCATCGTCAACCGCTCATCCTGCGTACAGGGTCACGGGGGTCTGGAGCCAATCCCAGTTGACATCGGGTGAAAGGCGGGGTACGCCCTGGACAGGTCGCCAGTGCTTGTATTATTTATATAACGTAATTGACAATTAATATTTTAAACTGAAATACTGGACTGAAAATAAATCAGGTAATGTTTGGTTTTCACAAGGTGTCATGTCTCTGCAACTCTTAAAGATGATACTCCATCTTCAGTGAATTGTACAAGGTGTGAAAAATGTACAAACAAATATTGTTTCAATACATATTGGTGTTCTAATAATGATTGGGTTGCTTGTTAAGTTAGCTTTACAGTCGTACAGGGTATTTTACTAAATATTATATTATATCGGGTTAATATAGTTATTCTGCTTTCTCTTTTTTAGTCAAAAACCTATTACATTGAGTCTAGACTGAAAAAATATAAAATAAACAAGTAAGAAGAAGTAGAATAACAAGTTTTAGAAGGTAAATCTTCTATTCCATAATCTGAGATAGAGGTTGAACAAGGAAATACCAACCCAATCTTTAAGGCGGTTGAGATACAGACATTAAAAAATGTCAAATCTGACGGCAAATTACCTTCTAAAACAAATTTAAAAAATAGCCCAACGTTCATGATTCTAGGTCCCAACTTTACTTTAGTGTCTTATGCAATGTGCTTATGTGCTTCTATCACAATGGAAAAGCTGATGAAAATGGGTAAAATGACAAAAAAAACAAACTCTTGCAGGAACAGTATCTGCAGATCTTGTTGGAGACAGTCTTCTTCAAGATCTCAGTGCTGTCCTGTGTAGGGAAAAACTTTTCAAATATCATGTAAAATCCTTTGTTTATTGATTGTTTTATTTGTGTAGCTGTTAAATCATAAGTGTCAACACCTTAAGTGGTAGTCCTTTGAAAGGACAATAAACTGAACGACTCATCTCTGGTCTCCATGCTTTAATTGGTCAATGCAGAGGCTTTCGAACGCTCAACTGAAACCCACTGCTTGTAGCAGAATAACATGTAATTGTAAATTTTTCTGAATATATATGCTAGGTAACTCGATAATGGGTTCCAGGGAGGCAAATAAAAGACAGAGAAGAAGAGTGGGTCTGGTTGGAGTAACTTTTATGGTCAGTGGCTCATTGGAAAAAGTTGTTGCAGCCCAACTCCACAATCACCTTCACATCCATAACATATATGAAAAATTTCAGTCCGGTTTTCGAGCAGCACACAGCACGGAGACAGCCCTGGTCCGCGTCACAAATGACCGGCCGCCTTTGACACTGTGGATCACAACATCCTGCTTCACCGTCTCCAGTCTATGGTAGGACTTTCTGGGACCACACTAGGCTGGTTCCAGTCTTATCTCACAGCCAGGACGGAGTATGTGGCTCTAGGACAGTCCCAATCACCCCACACAGTCAGCTGTGGAGTGCCACAAGGGTCCGTCCTTGGTCCAACCCTTTTTACCATCTACTTACTACCCCTCGGTCACATCATCCATAAACACAAAGTTTCATTCCACTGTTACGCAGATGATACTATACATAAAAATGGACTCCACACTCCCCTCAGCTCTGCCATCTGCACTTCAGGTTTGCCAGGAGGAGATAAGGGCATGGATGGCTGACAACTTTCTTCAACTAAATAGCAGCAAAACCGAAGCCATCCTGATCGGTACCCCACATCAAACCCAGTCCTCCTCCCTCAGCAGTATATCCATTTTTGGTCATCACATTCCCCTGTCTACCTCTGTTACAAACCTTGGAGTCAGACTTGACTCAAATCTCACATTCGACACTCACATCCGTCACCTCTGTAAGGTCTCCTTCCTCCACCTCAAAAACATCGCCAAACTCCGCCCTTCCCTCTCACAACTAGATGCTGAGAAGTTGATCCATGCCTTTATCTCCTCCAGGTTGGACTACTGTAATGCCCTCCTCGTCGGGATCCCTGGCAGGAGACTGCAAAAGCTCCAGCATATTCAGAACTGCGCTGCCCGGGTCCTGACGAGGAGGCGCAAATATGACCATATCACTCTAGTCTTGAAATCCCTCCACTGGCTGCCCATTCAATACAGAATTCAATATAAAATCTGTCTCCTTACCCACCAGTGCATACATGGAACTGCCCCTGCCTACCTCAGTGAACTCCTCACCCCACTCACCACCTTAAGAAACCTCCGCTCTTCCACCTCTACCCACTGCCTCCACCAACCAAGGACTAAACTCTCCACCATGGGAGACAGGGCCTTCCAGGCAGTCGCCCCACGGCTCTGGAATGCCCTCCCAGAGCCCCTAAGGGCCCCACAAACTCTGGAGGTTTTTAAGAAGGGCCTAAAGACTTTTCTATTTCAAAAGGCCTTTTAACAGTCATGGTTTTAAATCTTTTGTTACGGTGTTTTATTGCGATTGTTATTTTCTGGAACTGTTTTTAACCCCTTGTTGCTGTAGCACTTTGAGATTTCCCTGAAATGTAAAGTGCATTATAAATAAAATTTATTATTATTATTATTATCATTGATGTGGCTGCGACAGGAAGTCCATGAATTGTGGAGTCATCGTTGACATCACCCTACCCCTCCTTCACTCTTGTACTGAACACTTGCAGTGTTCACAGAGCTGCTTATTGTCTGTGTTCTTCCCCTTCTTTTATCTGATTTTTGCTCAATAGGATATTGTGTCTTTATGAAATCAACTTTCTGATTATATCTGAGAAGTGCCTGCAGTTTATCTTCAAAATGTAACTGACCACGGACAAATAACAACTGTTCAGTGAGCTTTATTGCTAAAGATTAAACTGCTCCAACTTAAAGTCCACTCGAGATCCTCAGTGACAAACACTAAAAAAAGTAGCTTAATTTTCACTTTTTTTATAATGTTAAACATCATTGACCTAAACTTAACGACTTTTTAGTTTATTATTAGTGTTGACAATGAGGATGACAATCCGTTGTGACCTTATAGAGCAAAATGAGCCTTAAGCACAACAAGGCTTGGCTCAATACTGAAAGGTCATATCATTTGTATAATTTATCAAGTAAGCTTTCTTACCATGTTAGATCAGAAGATTGATACTGCTCTCACATTTGTCTATATGAAACTACAGCTAGCAGGTGATTAGCTTAGCTTAGCATAAACACTAGTAACAGGAAGAAAGAGATACCCTGGCTCTGTCCACCACTGTTATCAACAAAGACCTGAGCAGCCTGTGAATAATAATATGTTTGTTTCCTGCAGGCACAATGTTCACAGGCCCCCGGTAAAAGCTAGCTGACTGGCTCCCAACAATAAACAGAGTATAGCGCACATTCATGGTAAATATTGTTAACAAATGGAATTTTCAATTTGCACAATATTTACTTACTGCTGTATATGTTTCAGGAGAAACTCTAAGCAATTGCTGCTCTGCCTGTTAGCTAACATTAACATGTGTTAGCAAGTTACACATTACATAGCGATGCTACCAAGCTCATTAGGTGGGAAGTCATGAAAACGTAGGTTTAATCTGTACAAAAACAGCTTCTACTCTATGCTATGCCATGTCAAGTAAATAATTGTTTTTTCCCAAAATGTCGATGTATTCCTTTAAATTCATGTTGAAGCTTATTTTTTAGTCAAAGTAATGTAGAATCATATTTCTGGAAACTAGAAGATGCTTGGTGGTGATGGAGCAGTGGACAAGACACATGTCTTTGGTGTTAGATACCCGGCTTGAATTCCCCACTGTGACACATCCACCAATGTGTCTCTGAGCAAGACACTTAACCTTAGAGCGACCTCTGACATATATAGCTTTGGATAAAAGCGTCAGCTAAATGAGTAAATATAATGTATAGTATGTGATATATATGATGTTGTGTTGTTATTGTATGTATTGTTTTATATTATATATAATGTGATTAGATGCAGTGCATAAAGGTCAGCAGAAACTTTCCAATAGCGCGACCAAAAAAACAAAACCTGCCAAAATGAATCCGCTTAGGTGACAAATTCAGATTCAGAGGTATTTAACTCAAAACCTCGACAGAGCATATTTCCAGACTACAGAGAGCAGGGCTGAAGCAAACATTAGAA